GTTTCAGTGATTGCCTGGGCAAACTTCCACTGTATATCCATAGTGTATCAAAGTTGGCGCCAATAAGGAATCTGTATTCTTAAATCCAAGCACGATTTGTCTTTTTATTGAAATTATTGATTGACATTATTATTTAGGATAAGAGTTATTTTCAATCAAAATTCAGGGGTAATTGTTTATAATTTGGATAATTATCAAAAATCAATTGAATACAATAATAAAGATGGTGAATTAATCCAAAATTTTGCATGCTAGGGTTAGTTAATTTTTTAAAAAAATTATTTAAGATTATTTGCTAATTGAAATTAAATAATATTTTATATAACAAGTGTAAACAATATAATTGAATGTTGCTTCATCTTTTATATGCTAATATACAAACAATTATTGAAAATTTTCATTTCAGATTATAATTTTAAATAGAAAATACTATTTAATATTTTGAGTACAAAAATCGAAATTTTATTAATATTGTTATTCAAAAAAAATTTGAAGTCTCAACTTAATACATATTCATAATTATGATGAAATTCTAAGATTTTTAAATTGAGTATTTATTGTTTTAATTTAATCCTCACTTAAAAAGATATTTCACTGAATTGGTAATCTTTAAAAAGACATTAATATTTTTATAATTATCAACAAAATTCTATTTAGGCAATTATTTGAATATTTTATTAGAAACAGAATCATTAATATTATACAAGGAACTTTGCCTTAAATATAAGAATTAGTTAACATTGTTATTAAATTCATTCATAATTTTGAATAAAGGTTAAAAGCTCATTAAAAATCATAGATGACCAAATACAATTCTTTTTAACTTTAATCTAGCTTCTCCTAATCCATCAACTTACACAAGATTCCCAGAAATTTGGATGGTTAAGAGAGGAATTACTTGATAAGGCGATAAACTTTGCCTTTTGATGATAGACTGATATATGAGATAATTACTTTCTGAACAGGTTTAGGTTTAAAATAGAAGAAAAAATACAATCCTATTTTAAGTTAATTGAAAAGATCAAATTATGGAAAATTCTAAATCGAAAAAATGAAGTATTATATTTCTGATCTGTATATATTTGTGAAAACAAATTTTTATATAAATTATATCAAATTATACAGAGTTTTAAAGTATGCCAAATTTTATTAGGAAGGTGTGTTAGGATAATTCCAATTTAAAAATTAATTACATCTATTTTCCTCTTGGATATGACTTAATAGTTTCCAAATATCACACGTCACAATAAATTTTGAGTTAAATGGAGAGAAACACATTTAGGTTTTTGTTCCAACATTAATATTACCGACAAGTATTTATTTGTAATCTAATTTCAGTAGAATTTTGTAATTACCTAAATATTTTATTAGAACATTTAAATCTAAATAATGGAATCTACTATTTTTTAAAATTTAATTTAATATAAGGGTTTCTTATTTGAATGATAAAAATATGTATTGTTCTTCATTTGAAAATCATAAATTTGCGCAATAACATCATTTATTATCATAAGAAGATTATTTCAGAATCCCCATCCAGTAGTATAATTAATCATTTAATTTTTTCAAATACAGTATGTCATATTTCTTGGACAACAAATTTGATTCACCGAATTATGAATTATTCATCTTTCATCAAAGTACCTGTTATGATTCACTATAAAAATATTGAAATTAAAGAGGATCAACAGATCTTAACTATTAATCCTACTGAGATTATACAAAGTTTGTTGCATTTTTACGGTAAAATATTCCTCACTTCTATTTTTTTGTTATTGGATTCTGAAAATCTTAGATTAGGTTACAATAATTTTCTTCTTATTTTCGAAAATAGAACCTAAACTCATACAATAATTTAAGATCTAGAGAAAGTTGCATATTTATTGAATGATTTGGGAGTAGATATACTGATTTTAAAGGATTAATCATCAAAAAATAGAAGTCCTGATAAAATGTTATCTGATATTGTTAACATTTATTATCTTCTTTAAGGGAGTTTATAAAGTTAAAATGTATTTTAATAAAAATACATGGAATGAACTAACACACTTATATGCAATTTTAAATATTTTACAAAAGTGTATTTCATTAAATTTTTAATAAGTTTATAAACAAAGCTCTACATAAGTAATTTAACTCACATTATTCTTTCTATTAAATTTGCTCATTTAGTTAAGAATAGTGTTTTTACTAGATATCTAAAATTATTGAGAAAGATTTAAAAACCACCTTATTAATCATTGAAATTTTCACAATCAAACATTTCTTTTACAGGTTGGACTTATTATTTTTAGAATTAGTAAAATTTTAATTTTTATAAAATAAATATTTAAAAAAAAAATGTTTAATAATTTGGATAATTATTCATTTCTTCTTCTTCATAATTCCTAATATTTTCTAATTTAAATTTCTTTAGTCTTTTCATCCCAACTCATCAAATATTCTCCATTTTCACTCACCGATCCATGTATAAATTAATTATCAAATTGAATAGATTATTATGTGATAAGATTGACCATTTTGGTTTTTCTTTATCAAATTAACATTTCTTTCATTCCTATTCACAAATAGACATTTCGATTTTATATATTATTAAGGAAACCAATAATTACATGAATTAGAATCACTTTTCACATCAATTTGATTTGTCTTTGAGTACTATTAATTAATAATATTGATCTCATAAACATGCAAATACTTTTTATTTCCAGGTTGAAATGTGAATAAATTATCATTGATGAAGCATAATCGATAACCATACTGTTCAATTGTTATCATTTATATAACATTCCATTATATATATATA